CTCTAAAAGTTATTCTGGCTACATTCTGACCAGGAACAACTAAAATACACCGTAACATTTCGTTGCGAATACGGCCAACTAAAGCCTAATATATTTGAAGTCTTTCTACGTGCCTCTCAAGAAACAATATGCTTAAATTTTAAAAGGAGCTGACGCGATGACGGATAAATATCGTATGGTACATTAAAGGTTCATGGCCTAAATACATTAAAGGTTCATACATAAATGGCCGAACCTTATGATATCGCTACGATTGAGTAATGTCAGTACTCAGACGCTTAAAGGTCATAGCAGACTTATCAACTCTGAAAGGGATTAACACCGTATCGCCTTTCCATTACAAAGAATACTGACCGCCTCGAGTTGATACGGTTACGATCCCTTTCCGCACTAGTAAATGTGCTACGTCCTTAAGACACCTCATTTTCAAACACCAGCATTGATGTTATAACTCTTTATGACTCACTCTTACTCACTCACTCATACCAACATCCCAACGTGAGTGAGAGAGACTGTTTTCTTTAGCAAGTCCTTTGTGGATCAAATCAAAACCGATTTATTTGTTTGATAATACGAGTACGACATATTACTTCTTGACTGGCAGAAACTTTCTAACACCGAGATATGTAAGCAGGAACATTTAAGCGTTTCAACGACTGATTTACTTAATTTGGTTTACTTAACCTTTAACTATGGACGTGAAAAAATAATCACACTCCCTTGGACGTCGGGTCTCACAGACCCCTATCTAACATTCTTCTTAATTTCATATCTGAATCAATTTGAATTTATTAAGGAGTTGATATATATCTAAAAACTATTAATAAAGGATTTAGTAGTAAATTTAATCAAATTTTAACCATCATTTAATTATTTTTTTGCAAATTTAAAAAACTTATACATTTTTCAGTGTAAATTGACTTGCCATCACATATAGGCTCCTTGATTACAGTCGATCATTAATAAATTAAAGTAATATTTTTTTCCTTGCTAATTAATAACTATGTAACATAAAAACATGAACAAAATTTCTGAAGGACATTAAATAAAATTTTTGACAAGGGTTAAATTTACTAAAATTATACACAGTGGCCTAGAACACTAAAGACAAATTATTTCTACAGGCATGTGTTATCTTTCTTTGAGAGCTTTAGTAGGCAAAATGTACACCATTCAGAATCGGAATCTGCAACAATGGTGAATTCTAAGACATCTAAACTCAAAAGCAGAATCGTCTACAAGTAATACCTTACTTCTGAAATGTTCTTTAGATAATTGGGCTAATAATATAGCTGATGTACTCAGATACTGTCTGCCATTATGTATTCTTAAACTAAAACAATTTACTTAAGATTATAATAATATAATAAAAAAAATATAGTTGACAAGTCACATCCATACAAGTATGTTTGTATGGAAATTATAGTCATCGGGTCTCCCAGACCCAGACAAAATTTTGAATGGTTATTACTCACGTAATAAGTGCCGGAAGACGCGATTTTATGCCTCCTCGGTCCAAATACAATTAAAACTGAAGCTACTGAGATGGTCGAGAGCAACACGTGGCGGGAAGGTATTTAAACCGAGAAATCGGAAAGGGGGGTGGGCCTCTGAGACCCGACGTCCATAGTTAAAGGTTAACATAATACTATTTTACTATGAAAATTCCATGTTTGACCTGTAGACAATATGACATTCGTTATCTATTTCGATTCGATAAAGTCGCTTCTATCTACTTTTAATACTCACGCTAGACGTAACGAAGCTATCAAGAAGTCTATACTGTGCGTTACATTGTCTATAGGTCTTGATGGTAAGTGACGAGAAATATAAAACGAAATGCTAACTCAGTAAATACATACTTGCAAACGGCAAATTGCAGTTAAAATTCAATAAAATTATAAATTAATTATACGTTTTCCCGATATCCAGCAATTGCTTAATTAATAAGAAACTAAAATACATAAATATAAACGTGTCAACGTTACTCTTACATGATGTGGGTTATTAAATAACCTCGCATTAAATTTTAATAATAATAAACTGCCATACATTAGTAATAATTAAAATGCCAAATAATTATCACCCGAAGTACATTTTGACATGCTTTCTGTACAAAATATGGCAACAGCTTTTTTAATATAATTAATTTCTTTTAGAAATGTGATAGCCCAAATTAATCAATTGACACAAAAATTAAGTATATAGTGGACGAATTTATAGCTTGCATTAAAAATAATATTAATCACTAATAAAAATAATTGATTTGCTTATTTATGAAACTTTGCTTTTTCTATTAACTATTGTATTGAATGTAGGTAACTTAAAGATTTTTTAAAACTAGAAACTATTAAATACGTTTCATACTTATTCGTATAATCAATAAGTAACTATATTTATTTGAAACATTTTTCTATAAACACCTGAGCATAATTAAATTGAAAATCATTCAACATTTGAATAAGTCAATACACTGCGCCAGCACATCAACCTATTCAATGAGGGTTTTCGCGAATGAAAAATCCGCCAGATGGCAATACGTAGACGCGAGGTTCAAATGCTGCATGATTGGTTATTTTTGACATGCCATTGACAGATATGTCAAAATCCACCAATCACGCATCAGTCAGACCCCACATCCACGTCCCGCCATCTAGCGGATCTTTCATTCGCGAAAACCCTCATCGATTTCGAATCTTACTACGACAGTCATAGTGCTTGCACACGTTGACTCGCGGGCGCGGTGACGAAATATCAAACATATGTAGTGATTCCAAGTGTTCACGTACGAAACGCACGTGCGGTCTAACTAGCGGGCAAGCTAGCGACTGGCGCGCGCGGAGCGCTCGCGGTAATTTCAACGCGTGAAGATGTTTGTGTGTGTTCATGTCAAACTAGCGGCGGCGCGCGCGTTTCACTCACGACGTCAGGTAAGTTCAACCAGTTTGATCTTGTCGCTAGAAACGATAGCACGTTTTTACTCGTATAATGTCGTTCAATACAGAAGAGTTTATTAGTGCTATTCAGGCTAGAACTCCTATTTGGCAAAGTAAACACAGTCATCATATGAACAGAAATGTTGTTTAGTTGATAACGATAATATTAATTAAATTAAATAATAAAGAGGAACCTTGTTTGAATTTGATTTTGATTGAAAATTATAAATTACTTACTAAGAAAATCTTTTTTTTATTAATTACTTCAATTTCAGAGAAAAGTGTGATTTTATTTTAAGTTTTTAAATAAGTACAGAGAAAATTAACAATATGTATGACTCGTTAGTAACTCAGCATACATATTTCTCATATTTTAAGGCCTAAGTTTTAAAATTATATACAAATGCTGTATACCAAACTATTTGATTTTGCATGACTGAATAAATCTACCAAAATAAAAATTGAAGTCTTTTATTGTTTAAGAATTGCAGCGTAATCACTTTGAGTAACTCCGGTGACAAAACTATGGGTCAAGATATATACTTTTGAGTTTTTTAATAAGAAGTAGTTCATAAAGTTTGCTGCTCGATTGGAAAACCGTATCTCAGATATATTTTTCACACTTCTGAGTAAATGAAATAGTTAAATACTCAAAAAAATATTTTAGTAACTTGCCAAAATTTTTCGCTCGTTATGTCGGTTAAAAAGTTGATCGACCCACGTCACAATCGCGCGAACGCCTGGTCGTCAATATGAACACGAGCTCGCGACGTTACCCGCGCCCGCGCCCGCGCCCGCGCCCGCGCGTGCCTACGTGAACAAGCACATAGAGTTTTAAATCTACAAGATAAATTCAATATTTTATAGGTCGATCTACTGACGAGTTTACTATTTGAGAAATATTTAAAAGACATCGATTTATACATTTTGAGACATTGTAAGATAATATTTATATCTTACATTTTACTGGTACACGTTTATGACAAAAATGCGAGATTTCAAAGTGGTTCAAGTCTTATTAAATCGAAAAATTCATCTAAATTCAGTTAAGATTTGAATTACTCGCATTTTTTCATTATTTTATTATCAATGTCCATATTTGAAGCATAGGTCGTAGTTGTGACACTGGTTTACAAGTTTTTGGCAGAATATCTATCCATGAAAGATACATTCGATATATTCCGTTACAAACTCATGATATTATCAAGATAATCTGAAATTAATATAATCTACAATAAGTACTTAAAAGAGAAATAACATGTTGTAATTATGAGCTAGGTTTTTGTTCAAAATTTAGTCGAATTGATTGTCTCGAAGTGGTGAAACTATATTATAAATTTTAACAAAATATATTTACTTTAAGAAAACACATTTAAAATTATCTTCCACAACAATCACAACCGTATTTAAGGCGTAACTATTTTTAATCGCAACTCGTTTAAATTGAAAACAACATTAATAAGGCAAAATATATCAGATTATCTTGATAATATCCGAAGTAACATGTATAAACGCCACGAGGCTATAGAATGCGGGTAAAAGTGGATTTATATGACTGTATGCAACATGAAAGTTTATAAAGTAGTGACAACTTGACCGCCAATAAAAAAATCATATTTATTCATCTTACATCGTCATCAGTTCAGCCATAGGACGTCCACTGCTGAACATAGGTTCCCAATGATTTCCATAATGACCGGTTAGTAGCATAAAGTTAATCCACGACTTCATTCACGTAAAATTTGAAAAAATCTTCTTCTTTTATTATGGCAACGTCTTGGTATTGAGAACCATGATTTCGCCACACAGAGCTCAAATTTTCAGCGCGCCATTGAGTGCTGACGAACTGCCAAATAGTTGCAAAAAACGATTCTGTTACGTTACGTCGCATCACGTATCTCTTTATATCACACAGTGTTGCTTTTCAAAATCATATATTTTGCGAAAATGGGTTTACATCAGAAGGTGTTACAATTTTTCAAGTAGGTATCTCCATCTTCCACCTTTAGGCATGCAAAATTATTAATATTGCTGCTAGTGACATCTCGCTCGCACAATTGCTCTTTTCCGCTAGGTATTTAACCATGGTCTGTAGTTTACAATTACTGGTTAATATTGTGAGTAAAGTTCCCAATTACTTATAAACTTTTTAGGTTATTTGTAACTGATAGATAGCCTCGTGACTGCGTACCGTTTTTCTGTAGTTATTTAGCATCCAGGAGCAGCGACCAGGTTCATATTCTCTCCGGACTCGGTTGCCGAAGTCAGCCGGTGTCGTAGAGCGAACGCTGCCACCACACGCGCCACCTGACATACAAATGTCAATAATTACATTATTTATTGTCATCAGTGAGTCTAGAACAGTGGTTCCCAAACTTATTTAGTCTACTGCCCACTTTGAGAATAAATTATTTTTTAGCGCCCCCCATTTTTGTAGTCAAGAGTCGAGCTCAGTCGATGTCTAAGAGTCCTCCTAGTAGATGACGCCTCACAAGCCTCTACACAACTTCCTGATTTTTTTTCTGGGTCTCTTACCGCCCCCCTTTAAGCCTGCAGCGCCCACAAGGGGGCGTTATCGCCCACTTTGGGAAAGACTGGTCTAGAAAATTGGTTCCCAAAGTGGGGGGCGCGCTGTACTTAAGTATAAAAAAACCTGCAACCGCTGAGAGAATGCATTCCGGACTGCTCGATACGACCAATAAATAATCTTGATTGTTGAAGGGATTTTTTGTATGGTCGAAAGGGGGCGCGTCTCAAATAAGTCTAGCTAGACTAGACTTATTTGAGACTGTGCACTTTGCACATTATAATCGGGAACCAATCAAAAAGTGGTCGAAAGGCCTTTTTTTGTATGGAGTTTTGACGGATTCGATTTTTGATTCGAACAAAAAGTGCAACTTGTCTAGGGCCCCCCTAGAGGTCATTTAGTTTCCACTTCAAGAGCACTGCCCTCAGTAATTATAACCAGAGGCAAACGGATTTGAGTTAAATTTACACGCTGGTCAAATAGATTTGGTTCACATATTGATCCTTATTTGTATAGTAAAAAACTTACCTCTTCCGGAGTATCCTCGTGCACCGCGTGTCCGCAGCGCGTTAGCACTTGCATTTGGAATTTACCTGCACAAAAGTACAAAATTAATTAGTGTAAACTCCATTAACGACATTCAAGGGGCTGAGCATTCTTCGACGTTATAGAGAGAGAGTGAATGTTAAATGGAGAGACACAGTAGAGCGAATAGAAAACAAGGTAAACAGTTGATGTAACTCGCTTGTTGTCCTTTCGCTCGCCCGCTGTCCTCTCGCCCCGCTTATTGTCCCCTCACCCGCTGTCCCCTCTCTATCTGTCCCCTCGCCCACTGTCTCCTCTCTATCTGTCCCCTCACCCGCTATCCCCTCTCTACCTGTCCCCTTGTCCCCTGTCCCTCACCCGCTGTCCCCTCTCTATCTGTCCCCTCTCTAACTGTCCCCTACTCACCCTGCATCTGTCCGACGGTGAGCTCGCGGTCCAGCCCGTCGATGGAAGCCAGCAGTAGAAGGCGCGGCGCGGGCGCCGACAGGAAGAGAGCCGAGAGCCCGCGGAACCAGACGCCCAGTATATGGCTCAAAATCACCAAGGTGCAGAATTGGCTTTGCTAGCAATTTAATGTCTTAAATCTTGACTTATTTGAGAAAATAATAGTAATAAATTACTTCAACTAACTTGTTTTGTGTGTACATCAAACAATATAACTAATTAATAAAGCAAATTTTAAATAAAATCAATATACATGCATGGATAATCATTTCGGGAACGCGTCCTAATGTACAATCTTCAGCAACAAGTCCAAAATTTTACATAAAAATTTAAGGTAATTTACACATGTCATTACTTAATACACCGTATTTTTTATACAAAATTTAGTTTTAGAAAGGATACTAACNCAAATCATTGCACTAAATTCCCTACTATACATTCTGTGACCAAAATCATTGCAGAAATTTTCAATTTGTGGTAAAGGACATTGTCAGAAACCGCCTAAAAAACCGCCAAAAAACATTAACCCATCATAATTATTTTCTATTTTTTTTAATACATTAAGCACACTTTCGTTCTAATGGACACTTAAGCATTGAAAAATTAAATAAATAAGTCTTTTAACGTTTATTCTATAATACTATTACAACTTCCGGACGTTTTGGTGCGTGGCATGGTCTAAAACCTATCAAGTTCCATAATTTTTGCCGATAAAATCTGTACGAGGCATTACCGTACTTTATTGCTGGGAGTCCATGTATAGTGATGTTCCTGCGGCCATCATAGACAATAAAATATCGATTTTGAAAATAAAATAAATCGATTAAACTGCTTTGAAGACTAGATTTGCGTTAAAAGCTAAAAAGATATTGACACTATTACAAGAAGCTATCTAAAGTGTCCAACTGGTCGAAGGTCGTAAATAAAATAAAAATAATTAGGACCATAAACTGATATTCATGGTATCATAACTGTAAAAGTGTCAGAATCCGATGTTGAATCCAATGCCAGTTGAAGTGTGAGAAACATATTAATAATTTATTAATAGTAAGAGTAGTTTTTCTTGACTGTGAACAATATGGCAATATAAATAAATAACTTAGTTATTTAAATCGTTGTTTATAATTTAAATATTTCTTTATTTCTACCTAATTATATCAATATACAGAACATTTTTGTCATTCCGGGAACGGTTGATCATTTTCGGGAACGTTACAATATTTCAATAAAATACGCATAAATGGAGGTATTTCAATATTATGTATATATTTATTACATTACAGAACTTTTGTTCTGTACATATTACGTTAATTCGATTAAAAGAGTTTTAAATATTATGAAATTTCTTAAATTGTATGCGGAATAATAGCAACTTCTTTATTTTTTTGACGTATTTTGCTTGTAGAAAATTTTAAATGTATTGATTTCATTATTGCTTATTCAAAATAGATACATAATAATACCCATGTTTTAAACAAGGCTCAAATTATGCGCTTTGTTTGGTTTTTCTGGGTTTTATGAAACTTAGGAAAACGTTCCCGAATTGATGGTTTTCTGCAAGATATTTACTACTAAGCAATATTACTAAAAAAATAAAGAATTCTGTGCGCTGCCCTGTCAAGGTTTAAAAATATACAAATTAAGCAACAGTATAAACTCATAGTCATCATTATAGCTTGCAATTTTTTTTGTCATAAAACCGATTTTGAAATTCGCAATCTTGGTGATTTTGAGCCATATATAGCTCGCTCGTTAATGTAGCTCGCCTGTCAATGTAGCTCGCCCTCTAATGTAACTCGCTCGCCAATGTAGCTCAGCTCGCTCGCCAATGTATCTCGCCCGCTAATGTACTTGTGGCCCCTCGCCATCTGTCCCCTCGCCCGCTGTCCCCTCTCTATCTGTACCCTCACCCGCTGTCCCCTGTCTATCTGTCCCTCACCCTGCATCTGCCCGACGGTGAGCTCACGGTCCAGCCCGTCAATGGAAGCCAGCAGTAGAAGGCGCGGCGCGGGCGCCGACAGGAAGAGAGCCGAGAGCCCGCGGAACCAGACGCCCAGTATATTTAGCTCGCTCGCTATTGAACCTCGCCTGCTGTCCCCTCCCTGGCTGTCCCCTCTCAAGTTGTACCCTCGCCCGCTGTCCCCTCTCTATCTGTCCCCTCTCTATCTGTGCCCTGCTCACCCTGCATCTGTCCGACGGTGAGCTCGCGGTCCAGCCCGTCGATGGAAGCCAACAACAGAAGGCGCGGCGCGGGCGCCGACAGGAACAGAGCCGAGAGCCCGCGGAACCAGCCCGCCCAGTGGCGCTCGGTGCCGGACAGGTCGATGCGCCATTTGTAGCGTCTAGAGAACCGAATTAATTTGTATTTTTTTTCGTTATGAATAGAATAGAATACCTTTATTCAGCATTAACATTTATGTGCATACATATACAGAGGTTAAATTACTGAGCCATGCTCAAAAGGCGCCCGCTCAGCGAAAATCGTGACATGACACAAGTCGTCAAGTCACGAAGCTGGTTTTCAGCGGGTACCAACATGGGGGTTACTATTCTACGCCAGTTATGCGCCCTTTTGACAGTGACGGTTCATCAATAAAATTCGTGTCGGTTCGTAACACTTCCTGGCAAAAAGGCGCGCAACAGAGGGCGCTGCAGTTAAAATAAAATATCAATTTTTTAACATAAATACAAAATAAAATATAAAAAAGGTAGACATAAAATATGACATTTACAAAATATTAATAAAAATAAACTCCACAATTATGACATTTCGAGTTAACAGGTAAGTTCGTTCGTTTCAGCCAAATGACGTCCACGGCTGGACAAAGGCCTCCCCCAAGGTTTTCCATAATGAGCGGTCCTGCGATGCCCGCATCCAGGCTCTTCCCGTGACCTTTACCAGATCGTCGGTCCACCTAGTAGGAAAGTTCTCGAGTGGCGACCACGGGCTGGAAGACGTAGCGGGGCAGGCCTCCTACTAGGTGAACAGGTAAGTAGCAAAACTAAACTAAACTATACTCGACGCAAAAACTCGTGGCAGATGATAAGACGATAGACACATAAGCCTGTATTCACAAACATTACTGTCTCATAGTGCGCGTGGGCGCACAGGGTGATATACGAACCAATCACAGAGCTCTATTCAACGCTGTGCGTTCGATTTGCTGCTTCACTCAAGCAAGCATCGTTTGGGAATACAAAAGTAACTCTGTCTGTTTGTCTGTCTATCTTGCTTTCACGCCTTTAGGCGTCATCAAAATCGGTTCAGTGATTTATCACTGAACCGATTTTGATGACATTTGGCATAGAGATAGTTTGAGTGCCAGGAAAGGACATAGGATAGTTTTATCCCCATTTTTGAAACTGGGACGCGCGCGATAATTTTTTTGTGACAGACAAAAATTCCACGCGGGCGAAGCCGCGGGCGGAAAGCTAGTGAATAATAAATCGATAATAAGAGAAATCTGGCATTTTGCGAGGGTAAAAATAAAGATATTCTTTTTTTCTTTTGTAAACAGTAATGTAATGTAACAACAGCATTGTTGTGTTCCGGCAGTTAAGAGGTAAGATAGCCAGTTCCTCCGTGGTTGAGGATTCCGTTCCGGGTGAAGCTCGCTTCCACCTTCGGCCTGATCGTCACTTACCTGATGGTAAGTGACGATCAGGCCGAAGGAATGTAGGAAGGTGGAGTGTATCTCACCTGATGGTGAGATACAGGCCAAGAGCTTCCTCGTTGTGGATATATTTTTTTTATGCTAGATGTTGGGAGACCGTATGAATGAGACACGGGTTGTAGTTAGTCTCTGATATTAATCTGTTTATTAACGCGGACTACACGTATATTTATACGATATAGATTATAGATAAATGACGTCACAGCATCAGCACTATACGTGATAAATGTGCTGACACTGTGAACGTGATCAAGATAAGATATGAAGAGATTTAGTATTGTGCATACCGGCACACTAGACAAGGCAGGTATTTGACCGCAATCGCACCTGGTGTTAAGTGAGATGCAGTCTAGGGTGGTACATATCTGCCCTCTAAGTGCTTATTCACTTCTCGCCTTGAAAACGCCCGGATTATAGTGTTCAGGAAATACAGCAGCAGGCAGCCAATTCCAGTCCCTAGCTGTTCGCATTATAAATTACGCTCACTTGAGGTCCTCGCTAGGCTTCACAAACACGGGCTCGTCATGCTTGACCCTCGCGGGCTCGGGCTCCGGCTCGAGGTCGTCGGGCGACTCGGGCGGCTCGTCCTCCTCGGCGATGGAGTCTGCTCGCGCGAGCGGAACGCCGTCCGCCTCCGAGTCGTCCAGCGACATGTCTTCGAGCTCCCGCGTGGATAGGAGGCCCGTTTCCACGCTGTGCGTTCGATTTGCTGCTTCACTCAAGCAAGCATCGTTTGGGAATACAAAAGTAACTCTGTCTGTTTGTCTGTCTGTCTTGCTTTCACGCCTAAATCACTGAACCGATTTTGATGACATTTGGCATAGAGATAGTTTGAGTCCCAGGAAAGGACATAGTTTTATCCCCATTTTTGAAACTGGGACGCGCGCGATAATTTTTTTGTGACAGACAAAAATTCCACGCGGGCGAAGCCGCGGGCGGAATGCTAGTGAATAATAAATCGATAATAAGAGAAATCTGGTATTTTGCGAGAGTAAAAATAAAGATATTCTTTTTTCTTTTGTAAACAGTAATGTAATGTAACAGCATTGTTGTGTTCCGGCAGTTAGAGGTAAGATAGCCAGTTCCTCCGTGGTTGAGGATTCCGGGTGAAGCTCGCTTCCACCTTCGGCCTGATCGTCACTTACCATCAGGTGAGATACAGGCCAAGAGCTTCGTCGTTGTGGATATTTTTTTTTTATACTAGACAAGGCAGGTATTTGACCGCAATCGCACCTGGTGTTAAGTGAGATGCAGTCTAGGATGGTACATATCTGCCCTGTAAGTGCCTATTCACTCTCGCTTTGAAAACGCCCGGATTATAGTGTACAGGAAATACAGCAGCAGGCAGCGAATTCCAGTCCCTAGCTGTTCGCATTATAAATTACGCTTACTTGAGGTCCTCGCTCGGCTTCACAAACACGGGCTCGTCATGCTTGACCCTCGCGGGCTCGGGCTGCGGCTCGAGGTCGTCGGGCGACTCGGGCGGCTCGTCCTCCTCGGCGATGGAGTCTGCTCGCGCGAGCGGAGCGCCGTCCGCCTCCGAGTCGTCTACCGACATGTCTTCGAGCTCCCGCGTGGCTAAAAGGCCCGTTTCCACGCTGGGAGTTGTGATAAAAAAACTGTTTAAGCCTAGATAGGCGCGCACCACCAAGCTTTAGTTAGCCGATAGTTGGGCCCAATTCTAATTTGTATGAAGAAGCGACCGATACCAAATCAGTGTAATGTGCGCACTTTCATACATGCCCGACCCAACTATCGGCCAACTAAATGTCGGTAGTCTGCTTATGTGTATATGTACAGCAGGGATCTGCAACCTGTGGCTCTTTAAAAACTGGAAACCTTTCTAAATTGTAAACCTTTCTTGCAAATAAAAAGTTTTCTATTCTATTCTATTCTAAATTGACACTTTTTGCATTGTGTACTAGTGACTCAGTATTTTGCTACTTACTTATTTTCAGCACTGGCCCACTTATTCAAATTCAAATTCAAAATACGTTTATTGTGAACCACAGGTACATAGGTTGTCAAATTATAAATGGATATAGATCGGCTGCGTTCCGCCTTGAAGGCATACAATAGTTAGTACTTAATTCTAGGGTTAAAGTTTATGCTGAAGATTAGGTGCAAACATAAGTAATTATCCAGAATTTTTCAAATAATCAATCAATAAATTGAATTTATTGTCTCGAAGCAGTGGTAGGGTTAAAATAATACTAGGATCTGTAAAAGTCATCTTTCCTTTTCTTCATTCTCCTTTCACTTACTCACATTCCGCTCTCTCATTCACTCAGTGTAACATTTCTACATTGTGTACTCACTTGACAATCTGACTGGGCATTGACACTCTGGCAGACGAAACGTTCCTCACCTGGCCACTTCTGACACTGGAATATAAATAAAAATAAATTAAACTATGTATCACGTAAAATACAAGCTTTTAATAAATAAATATAATTTAAAATTAAATTTGAAAATTAACGAATGAGTGAATGAAGGTATTTTGCGAACAAAAAGAGCAGTGGAGGGGGGTGCGACGAAAGTCAGTTGCTCCGTGGCCGTCGTTGTGGGCGGACGCAAGCACTTTTAAGATTTTCGGTAAATATGTAGTGTGCTAAATTAAATTAGCTTTATTTTTTTGTAGTGAAATACAGCTTTGCCTGGTGGGTCGCGTAGAGTCAAGTAGAGAAAGTATATTTTTTATATTATTATATTGTAATTGTTAAAATAGAGAAACATATGTAAATCATGTAAAAATGTCGCGCTGAGACTCATGTTTCTCTATTTTATGTACGCGAAAGTTTAAAATCTTATACTGTGATGGGGCAGCAAGGTTCTGGAATGGAGGCCGCGTACCGGAAAACGCAGCGTGGAACGTCCACCCACAAGGTGGACCGACGGCTTGATAAAGGTAGCAGGAAGGCGATGGATGCAGGCCGCTACCAACCGTGCGATGTGGAAGTCATTGGGGGAGGCCTATGTTCAGCAGTGGACGTCCTATCCTCCTAAGACCCCCCGTACAACATTTTGCACAAAATAAAATACCTTTGTCAGTCCCAGCTTTGTAATAATGTTGTAGTCGTAACGGCCCACTGTGCAATTTTTTGTACATATTCTTTAAAGATTTCTATTGTTTTTTCAAATCTTTCCGCGACTAGTTTCACTCAAAATGACTTGATTAGTCTATATTGCCAATGGCATCAATGCCGTCAACCAAAAAAAGGTAACAAACTGTAAAAACCAGCTGTGACTAACGAAGAAACATGCCGTTTTGCATGCCGCGGCCTCATGCTAGAAGTCTCTGGGTCTGACAGCAATAAATTAATTTGTGCATAATTTTGTACAGTGGGTTTTGACGACTACCATGTTATTTTAAGTCTGGGTCTTAGGAGGCTATGGTTGAGATGATGATGATGATGATGATGACTGTGCTACTGACCACCACTCGATGGCGTGGCGGATGCTCTTGAAGTGCGTGGGGCGGCCGCGCAGGAAGCTCTGCATGCTCGCCAGCGCCTCCATCGCCGTACCTGCACAGGGGTCATGCTGATTAACATTATATTAAGAGCGTTTACGCTGATTAGCGCAAAAACAGTACTTTTTCAACTCGTTACAATCATTAACCAGTAATATTACAAATATGTTATAGGCATAAATAGTTAGGCAATTTCGTCGTCTAAATAGTTAATTGAGAAAATATTGCGATTAGTTTAGTATTTAAGAATTCTATCAAGATAAGTCCACACAGGTTTTGTAAATTTCCACTTTAGCGTCAGTTTACAAGCTGAAATTTTTATAATAATACTGTGAAAACGATTTAACAAACATTTATATCCTATAGCATAGATCCTTGGGCAAATAGTTATCTGAGAAAATTTTTAGATTTAAGCATTTTACAATAAGAAATCACAAATTAAAAAAACGTGAAATACCCATAAATCAAAGTGATTTTTACACCATTATTTTTCTTTAATTCAACATAAAAATAGCTTAATATAATAAAATAACATCTTCTTTAAAATATTTACTTTGAAAAGATATATAATTCATTGTTATTGTTTTGCTATAAACATTTGGAAACTATTAAAAAACGCCGCGCGCGAATCATTTCCAATGATGCCCCTTGAAACGCCGCGCTTCGCGTAAACGCTCGTAACAACTAGCGGCCGCCCGCGACTTCGTACGCGTGGATCTCGTTTTACCCCCCCTTCATCTATCTTACGCGGTTCAGATTTTTTCATACAACTTTTTTTTCCCGCTAACTCCCGTTCCCGTGGGAATTTTGCAATATCCTGTTGTAACTAAGCTTTAAGTTTACTAAGGTACCTGCATGCCAAATTTCAAGCGACTAACTTAAGCGGTTTAGATTTTTCATACAAAAGGATTTTCCCGCTAATTCCCGTTCCCGTGGGAATTCTTAAGTATCCTATAACCTGCCCAGGAGTATGGAGAATAATTGTACCAATTTTCGTTAAAATCCGTCGAGTAGTTTTTGTTTCTATAAGGAACATACTGACAGACAGACAGAGACAGACAGACAGACAAAAATTTTACTGATTGCATTTTGATCACTAATCACCCCCTGATAGTTATTTTGAAAATATATTTCATGTACAGAATTGACCTCTCTACAGATTTATTATAAGTATAGATAATACTATAACTTACGAGCAAAAGTATGGAATCACCCCTTTGTGTTCCGAGCGGTCTTAAGAACTGAATGACTATGTATTGTATGTATCTATGGTATCAATTTTAACTTTATAAAATCACCTTTAAAATGGTACCATTTTTATTGATCTTCTATTAGTCATTTAGTTCTTATGATCGCTCAGAATAAATAGGGTGATTCCATATTTTTGCACGCGAGTGTAGTTTGAGGCCATGGTCAATTGGTCATGCCAAGGGCAGTAATTGTAGAAATAGTTTGCCCTTAAGTTTCGTTAGCGTTATTATTTCTAATTTTGATTCTAGCATAAGTTTTGGTTACCTCTACCTATACTGTATATTTGTTTAAGAATAAACTTTTGGCAGTGTGTTTCTATTTAAATCACTAGATCTACTCAGATGCTCTCAAAAAATTAAGTTCAAGATTTGAATGAATCATTACCCTCAGATTACAAAGGCCATCTCCCGCTAATCCAGAGTCAAAATAACAATGGAAGGGTTGTAAAGGCCCCTACAATGCTATCCTCATTATTGAAGAGTTATAAAAACCTCTAATAATGCTGTTTATAAATCCTCACCTAGTGGAACGCGAAAGCTTAAAATCAATAGAAATTTTAAATCCTCACCTTCCACGACATCAATAACGACAAGCCCCTGTACATAGTGCTGCAATGAAGGCAGATGCGCCGCGCGCACCGCGATAGCACCTCCCATCGAATGCCCCACCAGGATTAGAGGGGGCATCTCATCACCAAACAGCTTCTGTAGCACTTGCTCTACGTCTCTGTGAACAATAAATCTTCTTATTCTTATTTTAATTTTTGGTCGAGGGGTGCAGGGAGTTTGAAAACTCATAAAACTCATTTATTTTTGCAAATAGGCTTTTAAAAAGCCCTTTTACACGTCCCAATATTAACCCTACCACTGCTTCGGGACAATAAATTGACCCGAGCAATCCGAGCGTCAGTATTGTAGTGTGTAATAATAAGACACATTAATTGCGTTTAATCGCGGTTGGGGGAGGGGACGCGCATTTCACCGACCGGCAAACTTAGCGCGAACGGGTTGTATATGTTATTCTGGGCTATAAACAATAATACTGTAAAGTTTCATTAAAATCCGTTCAGTAGTTTTTGCGTGAAAGAGTAACAAACATCCATCCAGACATCCAAACTTTCGCATTTATAATATTAGTAGGGATTTAGGATGGGAAGAGTAAGATTGGTTCTATTCTAATTTACTAGAACCTGGCCAACAGTAATAATAAATTTATTTACTATTGATAGAATTTACCCAAGTAATAAGAAATTTGAATTTTTGGCTCTGATTTTTATGAATTCAAATACTATGATAGATTAGATTAGATTAGATAGAAAACAGTGTAATAGATTTTTAATTCTTTGTAAGCAATAAATCAGTAAAATAATCATACTTGACTAAAGTCTCTGCGCTCATGTCATCAGGATCCTTTGCTTGCGTCTCCCCGTGCCCTCTGATGTCTATTGATATCACTTGACAGTGTACCATGTATGTGACTTCTTCCTAAAAATAGAGAAATTCATCAATTGGCCATAAATAAACCAAATTATAAATAAATAATAAAGAATTCGTTACCTAACTATTTATTTCTATTCAACATTCTATATTTGTGCCAGTTATTTAACAAAATTAAACGTAGGTCAGTGATATAAGTTTTTTCAGATCAGATTTAGGCAAAAATATTTCTATAATTTAAATTTTTTTTATAATTCAATATTGTTAAAGTCCTGAATTTTTTTCATGGATGTGTGAATTATCTACAGATTTATCATTTAAATTATTATCAATGGCCAATTCATGCTATCAATGTGCACATCAATTAGTATAATCTGTCTATAATACATATCAGAGTATTATGAATCACAAGATAGATATCCTAATTTGTCATATAGCAACAGCAAGCCTAAAGTTTAATGACACATAGTCTCTACTAATTAATAATTCATAACAAATTCTTGTTTTCAAAACATTGCACTGACTACAGCCTATTTTAAACATTTTTATTGCAAAATCAGTCTTATTCAAAGTGCATAAGACACCACAGCACATCTATATTATAATATACTCACTGCAAACAAGGCCCAACTCAAGCCTGAATAGCCACCTCCATGCAAAGTTACTATCCTGGGCCTCAGAGGATGATCTGGTTCTGATGTAAGATACACCCGGAACGTCCCACCCTCTGTCTCGACGTCCTCCGTCCGGTGGAAGAACCTCTTCCACGACTCTGGCTGGTAATTCTTGCAACGACTCATACCAAATGGAGCTAGCTTCCTAAAATTTTCATTTCATTCAATTGTTATGATATTTCAACTTATTAGCTTACTGTACTTATGCGTTAATCAAAGCATTAAAACGTAACGATGCGTTTCATATTAAGTTAATAAATGATACAATCGCGAAAATACTAACTGTTTAAAACTTCTAGGGCATCTTGGAGGCAATTTGCTCTTCATAATACTTTTTTGCAACGCAGACATCTCTGGATCACCTATCTTGCTGGTTATAAGTTTTACTAGTCGTAGTTAAACCTACAAGGTGTTTATTATATATTTATTCGGCAAATTCATTAACATTTACATTCAAACAGTAAAATAAAAGCAAACAAACACACCGACCGACAAAACGTCAATTTGACTTCAGGTGAGGGGCACGGGCACGTCAAAAATGACTGAGTGACGTCACAAGTTGTCACTAGTGATGCTCCCGTTCGTAGTATAAAGATACCGGTTATTTTTATATATTTCGCCCTAGGAAGAAGAGAATTAAAATGAAATCTTTAATTCGATGTAATCGTATTGTATTTGCAAACTCAAATGCAAAAGTTTGTGTGTAGTTATAGTATGAAAATTTAAATAACATGGATAGATGTGGATATTCAATTGTATTTCAATTCAGGTACATCACTATATAAAAACGTCAATTTGTCCAAATGACGTTGGCCGACTGACCGTCATCAATCAAATTGTGTGTCAAAATGGTCAATAAACAAATTGTTGCTGTTGTTTGATCCCTAGGACTACATTTAATTTATTTAATTACCTATGAGGAAGTTCAAATACATAAGAGAAAATCTGTGAAGAAATACTGCTGCTGCGGTCATCACAGCACAATGGACTTCACAAAAATATGTAGAGTGTGCCTTGACCAAACTAAGGAGACATTTGATATTTTCACAAGTTATTATGCAAAAAGAAAAACGTTGTACAGCGAAATGTTGTCTGACTGTACTAAAATTAAGGTAGGTGTAGTCATAAATTTTGTTACTCTTCCAAATTCTAAAAAACCAGTATGTTGTTTACCCATTCTAGTTTATTTTTAGCCCAGCCTAGACGACGGTCTGCCTCGGTTAATTTGTAAAGATTGCTGTAGGCAACTGAAACGCGCCTACGCCTTCAACCTCCAATGTGAAAACAGTGATGAGCAATTAAGAAAATATTTGAAAACTCCATGTAAATCTGAAGAAAAATATGATCCGAACCAGTTAAAAGATGAGACTAAACATGTAGTAAATGATGGAGTTAAGAGTGAGAGCGGGGATGTATTGGATTTCCCTCCAATTAGAGATGAAGATATTTCTTTTTCGCTAGATGCTGACTATAATCTGAAGGAAAATATCAAAATAGGTGAGTATTTGGTATTGCGTTGCATGTTGCAAGTCATAAGAAATGAGTATTTAATATTCTTTTATCTATTTTAGAAACAGACTTCAAAGATGAAGCGGGTGATGGCTATGATGATGGAAGTACATGGGAAGCTGATGACAATGAGGTACTTCAAGATGCTGCATTTCGTATTAAAGTTAAAAAGAGAAAAGGTATCACTTTCCTGTTCCTTTTTATTTGAAAATATTACAAAACAATAACATTATAACATATTGTTATTTTTTTATCTCAATTACCATTTAATGGCAATATCAATAAATTCCTGTAAATCTACTTTACAGAGCCTAGCAATGATGATGAAAAACCAAAGAAGAAAAGGGGACGTAAAAAAATTGGTAAGTCTTCCAATTTGATAAGAATACATAGTTTAATATGGTTTCTTATTACTCATACTTACTGTAGTTAACTTACATACTTCCAAAATGAAGAGCAATGTTCATCAAGTGAATGTTTCTATGACGCCTTCAGCTTAGCCAGCCTCTTGGAATTTATCAATAGTTAAGTTACTAAAGATTTATTTATCTTTTTCCAGAGAAAGTTGAAGGAGCTGATATCTTGCCAGAGAGCAAACTGCCTCACCAGTGCGACATATGCGGCAAGTTCCTCAGCACTCGTAGCAATCTGAAGGCGCACAAGATATGCCACACCGACCTCAGGCCGTATAAGTGCGGCGACTGCCCGGCTACTTTCAGGTAACTTGTGATGTTTTTGCTTATTAAAAACTTGTTTGCAAAGAAATTATGGTACGAAAATCTAACTATCTATGTTTATATTTTCATTGATTTATTACTTAATCCGTCACTATTATATTGTGAGCTGTTGTGTCTGGTCTTAATGGCCTATTTCCAAATTATTTCAAGTTATTCAACTGGAACTAAGTATCGCACAACAAGTGGTCATTAAGCTTCCACATATATTCCGATATCATTGGCATCAAATATGTATCCACTTATCAGCTTACTATTATTATATTTGAATGAAAGGTGGCGGTTCGCGTTGCGACAGACAAGAGACCGAGATAAGAGACTGAGACAGGAGATCGCGACCGTTACTCGACTAAGGCAGAGACCTGTCTGTCTTTGTCTCGCTTGCGAACTGTCGCTTATACATTGTCTAAAGTCAAGTAACGGTCGCGGTCTCCCGTCTCGGTCTCCTGTCTCTGTCGCGATGCGAACCGCCACCTTTAAATGTAAATCAACATGTCCTGTAAGTCATGCAGCCTAATCGAAGCTATCGTCTGCAGAGGCCACAGCGCCTTGTTCCAGCACCGCAAGCTGCACACGGGCGAGACGCCGTACCACTGCGAGTACTGCCCCAAGCAGTTCCGGCGCCGCACCGGGCTCGTCAACCACATCCGCATGCACACTGGTTCGTTGTTACATGTCAGTTACTGTGGTATCGTCTGCAGTCTTCGTCTAATTTTTCCTTATACTAAAAGAATGCTTAAGACTGCCCCTTGATTTATTAATCTGTACTTTGTAACCTGTTTTGAGACAAAAAAATAAATTCTATTCTATTTTACTTTTTCTAAAACGGACTGCAATTTTTTGAGACGGTATTTTTTAAATAATTGATTTGTAAAATTCCTTAGAATCTACTGCCCGTAATACTTCTGATGCAGTTTCTTATTTTGAAGGATTGCTGAAAGTGACAATCTTGTAGATATTTTTATTTTCTGAGACTATCGGATGATTCGGCGTCTCATTGTATAATAATAAATAAATAAATAATAAATATCTTTGGACAATATCACACAGCGCCATCTAGCCCCAAAGTAAGCAATTAATATGCTTGTGTTATGGGTGCTAGCTTAACGGATATACTACTTATATACTTTTTTTTTTTTTAAATACATACATATTATACATAGTAACACCCAGACCCGTCACAGAAATTAAAATTCATCATTTCAATTTCTGCCCGGCCGGGAATCGAACCCGGGACCTCTCGGCATAGTAGTCCGTTCTGAACCACTACACCAAACGGCCGACGAATAAATAGATCTACCAAATAGTACTGACATGTTATTATTACTGTCAGGGAATGACCCTACGTCCTAAAGAAAATAGTAACGTTTGAAAGCAAATACTTATAGAATACTTTTTGCGATTATTTCAGGCGAAAAGCTATACAGCTGTGATATTTGCTTCAAGACGTTCGTGCAGAGCGCGCAACTGTCGATACACATCAAGCGGCACAAGGGCGACAAGTCCTTCTTGTGCCAGGACTGTGGGAAAGGTAATTATTAATTAATTTTGGACTCTCTTGGCCTTACTTGAAATTATTTAATGTTTTTCTTTTGTACAGGCGACAGCTGCTTATCAAGCTACAAGTTTTTTTTGTTGTAAAGTCGCTCTTATTACAGCTTTAAGATGACATTGTGTTTACGTTGTTGTACTGTCTTCTGTACACCTATGCGTTTATCAGTATCTTCAGCTTGGATTTGGTGCTCTAAAAGTGGTCTAAAAAAAACTGCCTAATAAATTCTTAACTTTTACTGTAACGTACATGAAACCGTTATCCGCCGCGTGGTGTGCTAGAAAGGACTACTATCTCACTGTAGCTATCTAAATTTGTAGTTTTGACGATCCTGCAAACGGACAATTAGCTCAAAACGTCTAATTTTATTTACCTGGATGCGGGCAGCGCAAGTCCGGTCGTTATGAAAATACTTGGGGGAGGCCTTTGTTCAGCAGGGTCATTTGGTGGAAACGAGTCTAATTTTAAAGTGCCCTAAACCCTATGAAGCCTTGATGTTAATAACCATGTCTGCATTATTCAGGATTCCCCATCAAAGCGGATCTCAAAGTGCACCAGCGGATCCACAACGGAGAGAAACCCTACGCGTGCCACCTTTGCACCAAGACCTTCGCCACCTCGGGCAACTTGTCCATACACGTGCGGATACATAACAAGGAAGTTAGGTTGGTAACATACAATATTACTAAAGCCCGGTCTGTGAGCACGTAGAATTTTGTCCAATGACCCCAAGCTACCCATCCTTATCGCTCGCGCGTAATTATATTGCTGTCGCGACTGTGCGACGGGCGCCCGCAGTGAGTGTGCGAGCGCGACAGTGGACAAAATTCTACGTGCTCACAGATCAGACTATACCAAGATTTGTGATTTGACTTAGTTCAAACAGCAACTCTAACCTTAACTACGAACTCCTCCTATGTTCTTCTGATTAATTTCGTTGCGGGTCCAATGACAGTTTAATTTTCCCCCGGTACAAACTTGACCTTCACTGGTTTGGTTTTATTGGCGGTCAAACTGTAGATCCTGGCTACACAGGAGTTGCGGCGGTGGGAACAAGAGTTAGTTACTTTGTTTGTTAGCCCCGTTAGTTCAAACGTAAGCATGGCCTATAATTCAAGCCTTGACTTCTAATATTTTGGCTTGTATGAGCTCTAACACGATTCATTCATACTTTTGATAGAATTTTAATGTAGATAAATTACAGCTTTAAATCCCTCTTAACTATTCTTCTCCATCCTTTCAGATACAACTGCAAAATTTGTCAACGCGGCTTCGTAACATGCAGCGCTTACAACGTCCACCTAAAACGACACAAAGGTCAAAGGGACTACCACTGCGAATGCGGCAAAACATTCTACACGTCTTCAGCCTTAAAACAACATAAAGTAGTCCACACTGGAGAAAAGAAATACCAATGCAAAATATGCGAAAGAAAATTCACGCAAACAAGCCATCTCAGCAGACATTTTAAGAGGGACCACATTAAACCAAACGCCCCTGTGCCGTCTTCGGATTTTTATAAAATAGTCATTCAGGAGGGCAACAAAATCATGAATGTTTTCGACGATGTGACTAGGAAAATTACTGTGAACACCGGCGTGAAGTGCGAAGGATCATAGTGAATGGTAAAAACGTACAAACTATTGTTAAAACTGACTGTTGTGATTGTGCAATTCACCCTTCGAAATAGGGCTGCATAAATAAGCCTGTATTTTTTCAATGAAAAGAAAAAGATGAATGTGAATTCGTCACCATTCAAAATGGCTCTTGTTTCTCTGATTAAATTTTTGGTTGATATTAACCATATTAGATTACTTTATAATTTAATCTTTTGTCACACTGTTGGGCAAGTATTTTACATTACAGACTCCTCCAGTATTTCTAGTATTTGGCGTGGTCGCATAGTCTCGCCACGCTTCTACATTATTGTGTTTTACTTTACAAGTGACTTAAAGAACAATACTCAATGTGCAATACTCACAAAACTGATAAGTATTAGGTTTGTATTACTTATTGTATCAACAAAAAAAATAACAAAAATACTTTAATTTATATTAAATTAATAGGGCAATAAAATTATTCGCATTTTTGGTATTGTAATTAATTTAATATTTTTATTTTAACAAAGGAATAAAAAATGTAAAGCTATCCCGAAATGTTATTTTTAAGTTACCAACAGTGAGACTGCATAATACTGCGTACGCGCACCTTGGTGATTTACCCATATTCTCATTTTAGTTTTCTATTAGGTAAATTACTTTGTATTTATTAAAATTAATTTTTTAATACTTATTATTTATGTTTTTAGTGTATTCTTAAAGTGAAAATAAACTCGCCATATTTTAAAATAATGTTTTTTTATTTGTTACTACAACCACTACAACGCATTTATCTAACGTTGTTGTTGTTGCTGTCGCGCTCGCGTGAGTGTGCGAGCGCGACAGCAATATAATCACGCGCGAGCGATAAGGATGGGTAACTTGGGGTCATTGGACAAAATTCTACGTCCTCACCACGGTAATACTAATTACCGTGTCCTCACAGACCGGGCATCGAAAATAACACAACCTCGGAGATGACATAGTAAATATCATAGAGGAATTTTGAATGTTATCCCCGTAGAAATAAGAATTCAACTAATTTTTAAAGTTAGCTTGGTTTATTTAATTACGACTGATTGAAAATATCATTTTCCGTTCCCATATAAATTCGTTTATAATTAGATTATTGATAAAGAAGTCATTCTGATATTTTAGAATCATTAATTTTTAAAGGAAATTCAGATTAATTAATTAATTGAATAACAGATACTCAAATCGATCGAACAATTGAATGATCTAATTTAAACCGGTAAAACCGAAAAGTTATGTAAATTATGTCCCATCCCTATGCTACAAGCGTTTAGTTTCTTCAAATCGAACATGTACCTAGGTAATTAAACAAATTTACGTTTTATATTAAAAAAGAATTAACAACTTTTCAAGCAAATGTTATAGCGAAAAAATTTTTGTTTGCAAATATTCAAGTTTAAGATTTTATTAAGAGAAAATTAAGACAGAAATTAAAATTTTATGATTGATTGAAGCACAGACAGAAAAACGAAACGAAACGCGACTCAAGTGTTGAGTTGACTGATTGTGGTATTCGCGTTTATGTTCTGATTTTTTTGTTTTCACTTAGTTTTAAGTTCGTTTACCTAATGTTTTTGCTAGAACTGTAGTTTTAGGATGACAATGGAAAGGAGGATAAAGTTGAAAACCCTCAACAGTCACATAACTTGCAAGATATGTCGAGGATACTTCATTGACGCCACCACCGTCACAGAATGCCTACATACGTGTTAGTATTTACGATTGTTTATCTTTATTTGTATTATAATCATTGTTTACATTCGACTTTACACTTTTTGCAGCCGTAAATAGCCTAGAGAAAGTCAACAATATCACTGTTTTAAAAGTTGAATGAAACTACAATTTTTATCCCAATATCATACTATAATTCAACAATACTGTATCATCATGAGTTAGGATAAACTCAATTCTGGTTATAGCCAAGAGCAATAACAATGAAAATCATTCCATAAGAATACAAATCAATAATAACCTTAAAATGTTACAGTCTGCAAAAGCTGCCTTGTGAAACACCTAGAAGAGAACAACACATGCCCAACATGTAACATAGTGATCCACCAGTCCCACCCGCTCCAATACATTAGCTTCGACAGGACTATGCAGGACATCGTCTACAAACTAGTGCCCGACTTACAGGATAGTATGTATTACTGTGTTTTGTATTACATTGCTTTAGCTTTTACATTTTTATATGTGATTTTGACATTTACTTGAGAATTAAAAGTCAACATGATAAAAGGAATGTCCAAATAAAACTTATCTACAAATTGAACCTCATTTACAGAATATTAAACTAGTAACTATTGGTTGTTATTCCAGTTTAATAGCTCTCCTGTAAAGTTGCCAATCATTGTTTATGCAGTGTACCAATCAACTATTTGTTTGTGCTAAGATAACACTTCAAATGTTTTGAAAGTGGATTTTTTTTTATGCATCACAAGGCAGGTATTTGACCACATTTCATTGGAATTAAACTTTCAGATGAGTTAAAACGGGAGCGTGATTTCTACCGAGCCCGAAACTTGCCCTGTCCCAAAGATGCTGCTCTAGCAAATGATAAACCGGGCGCTGGAGACGAGCCAGAACAGCCAGACAACACGGACTGTCACAGGAAAGATGAACAGGTCAGAACAACTATCTTTTATGTGAATACTAGCTTGGCTGATATGAATGTTTTATTTATTTACAATACATAATGTGGCAGTAAAACTACAACTATGGCATTATTTTAGTTCTAAAATCAACACTATTTGTTTCCAGGTTAATGTCTGCCTCGAATGCATATCAACGTCCCTCCGAACACTGAAGAGGAGCTTCATCCGCTGCTCTGCGCAGGCCACAATCACTCACCTCAAGAAGTTTGTAGCTAAGAAAGTTTTAAATGGGATTGAGAAATATAGAGAAGTAAGTTTTCTATTTTCAGTTTACAACTTTTTTACTTAACTTTATTTATGAAGTTCTTAACCCGATGATCATTAGAGGCACTTGTATTGATATAGGATTAATAGGATAGAATGTAGGACTTTAGTATCTTATAGGCGGTGAATTTCTATCATTCCAACTTCGTCGTAAAGCAATGCAATTAGTATTTAGTGTAAATATTATGTATTTAAAAGTAATATTACTATTTCCAGATTGACATCCTCTGCAACGACGAGCTCCTAGGTAAGGACCACACGTTGAAATTTGTGTACGTCACGCGGTGGCGCTTCCGCGATCCTCCGCTACGGTTGCAGTACCGGCCCAAGATAGACTTATAAATGCTTAGTGAGCCTATTCTTTAACTCATTCTCATAAATTAATCGAAACTTTCACAAAAAGCATGTCATTACCGTTTTTCGTCTAACCGATGATCCAAATATTATCGTTATTTATCGTACATTTACCATGCAAGTACTAGTAAACTAATTAAAATCAATGTTAGCGCAGTCACAAACTGCAACTGCTATTCTTTGCTGTGATCCGATTGCTGCACAAACAAACATTCTTAATTTGATTGCAACGGGACTAAGTTAAGTATTGTGAAAGGCAATATAATATTATGGGAATGGAGTTTTAGAATAAACAACAAAATAAAGGCTGCTGTCAAGGCTGGAGTAGATCTAAAACTTCAATTTTACTTTGAGTTGTGTAATTTTAACCGTTACAAGCCAATGGTATTGTTTTAGTTTAACGATAACTCAGGGTTTTAGGTGTACAAATAATTTCCTAGGTGTCTAATTAATTTACATTATATTTTTATTTACGTAAATGAAATAAAATTCTTCATTTATTTCGTGCCGTTTACTTAGATATTTTAGATCTGCTACGGAAAATTATCAGCCATTTTTAATGTGAATAAAATATGTATATCTATCATTATTTAAAACTCATATGAACATTGTAACATTATACTTTAAGATTTGTAACAGAAATTAACGAATTTATTGCTAAACATTTTTGTATAAAAAATTGAAAGTTGTGATATAGAGGTTCACATACTGTTAGTATACTGCATAATAACTTACTAATTTAAACGTGGTGGCGATAATGATAGGCTAAGAAACACGTAACATTATGTAATAAGCATAATAGCTATTGTTTACAAAAATGATGTTGACGATGGCTGAGTATGATGAGGAACATTATCTTATGTAGTCTTGATTGTGAATCCAGTTTTTGACGATATAAATTAACAAGTTTTCAACAGATTGCTGACACAATGTGATCATACGCAATCGATTACAAATTATTTTGTCTTTAAAAAACTGGGTCTTGTGTATATAGGAACGCGAAACGATCTGCACTCATGAGGAATTCGATTATGAATCTATCTTATGATTGTTTTCACTGTAATACTAACGGCACATTAAGACAGACAATGAACCTAAGCAGTTGTAACATGCAATTCTATACCATGTTATTATAAAAATATTATTAAATGTACAGTCAGCGTCAAATAGTTCGTGACACACAAAGTAGCCAATAAGTTCGCAACACGTTTAAGTTGCATTTGGAATAAGGTTGTATTAAACACTTTTTAGTCTCTTGGGTTGTCACAAATTATTTGTCTCCGACTATACAACTGAAATAACGCAAAAGTTGAGACTGCAATAGTCAGGTTTTGTGTTAATTCAACTAAAGCCCGGTCTGTGAGCACGTAGAATTTTGTCCAATGACCCCAAGCTACCCATCCTTATCCCTCGCGCGTAATTATATTGCTGTCGCGACTGTGCGACGGGCGCCCGCAGTGAGTGTGCGAGCGCTACAGCAACATAATTACGCGCTACCGATAAGGATGGGTAGCTTGGGGGAATTGGACAACATTCTACGTGCTCACAGACCGGGCTTTAGTTGAATTAACACAAAACCTGACTATTGCAGTCTCAACTTTTGCGTTATTTCAGTTGTATAGTCGGAGACAAATAATTTGTGACAACCCAAGAGACTAAAAAGTTTTTAATACAATATTCCAAATGCAACATAGACGTGTTGCAAACTTATTGGCTACTTTGTGTGTCACGAACTATTTGACGCTGACTGTACATTTAGTAATATTTTTTTTAGTAACATGGCATAGCATTGCATGTTACAACTGCTTAGGTTCATTGTCTGTCTTGATGTGACGTTAGTACTACCGTGAAAACGAATCATAAGATAGATTCATAATCGAATTCCTCGTGAGTGCAGGATCGTGTCGCGTTCCTTCGGCGATTTGTGGACTTCGTGAAATTTGAGGTCCTCAGTAGATGATCCGTCCACCGTATCAATCTACGAAGTCACAGTCTTTTTCACTGGATTAAGAATAGCATCTTTATAATCAGACGATAGGCATAATATTCTTTTATCAAAAGTATTATTACTTCGCACAACTTGCGCACTTGGCGGGACGTAGATTTTATATTTACTCAAATTTTCTGCTGTTCCAATAAAATCGTATGTTTTAAGGAACTACTCTCCCTTCATAAATATTATTGTATATTTTTGACACAGTAAACATTTATATCAAACGTATCTTAAGGCATTTAATCAATTTGGTTCTGAATGTGACTACATCGAGGATTATGTTTTAGTCTTTTTTTAAGTTAATTTCTGTTCCATTAGACCAATTGACTTAGTTTCGTAATATGTATAATTATACATAGGTATTATTTTGTTTAATTATTTTTAATTTTGTTGATTTCGTTCGTAGAAATGCATTTTTGTTACCGTTTTTATGATGTGGAATTTCAGTAAACACACATTAGTTTATTTATCCAAAGGTGACAAGAGACTCTTAGCACCTAAAGATATAAATGAATTAGCTATCTTGAATTCTTAGTTAATACTTCGTATAGATTATAATTTTAGTTTATATTTTGTTTCTATGTAAGTGAAATTTATTTAAAAGTAGGTAAAGGATCTAAATAAAATTTATTTCTCCATGTGTAAATAGTATTTTATTTTCCTAATAAATTATAGTTTCTCACCTCCTGACACTTTTCTTGAAGGAGATCAATATCCTTTTGATTGCCAGGATTAGATGGATAATTTGATAATGGCGAGAGCATTCAACTACCGCTAGCCGGAAATTCAACTACCGCTAGCCGGAAAGTTACAGGAGATTATTGACTAACTGTAAAACTCTCTAAACAAATGTCCCGCTTTTGGGCGTGCGGATTGAGCGCTTCTTTTTAAATTGTGTGTGTTGAGAAATAGGATTATCATTGATGGCTTTAATTATAATCGATTAACAAAAGCGCAATTGAATTTTTACAATTTACCGGTTCGAGTTGCGAATTCGCATCACTAGCCTTGTGCGTGTGTGTTGCGTTAGCTGTCATTTTTTCGCAAACAAATGTGTGTGAAAAAATGAAAATGGACGGCTGATAGTTTCCCGTTTTGCACGTGAACAGATATTTTTTTATTATTTTACTGCATTAAACAAACCACCGTCAAACTGGGTGCCAAAACGGTTGAGAGATTTCTTAGCTTAGCGGACGATAATTTTGTGGACGATGTTAACGATGACTTAAAATGTTTTTTGTCCGAAGCAAAAGTTGACAGGTATGTAAACAATTTAATTTATATTTATTTGCATGCTTTACTTGTACTTGGGGATGTTAATTAGGTGGTTAATTACATTAGTGGTTCAGGTTTGTGGTGTGGTGTAGTTTGGTGTATTTCTTGGTTAGTATTTTCAAGGTTACTGTGAGTCAACAAGCAGACCGCGTAGGTTGAATCAAATAGAGCGAATCGGGATGACACTGAACGCTAATAAATATTTATGAAGGTGTTAAAAAGTTACATGAGGTGCTGGTGCCCGGCGTTTCCGTAAGCCTGGGCTTAATGTCGGCTGTGCACGAAATAATACCTTTCTAATAGACCACAACTACACTCAAATAGCTATCGATTAAAAACCGCTCATGCATGAACATTCTTTTTAACTATAAATTGGCTGGTTCCAATTATAATGTCAAGGATTTACTTGACTTACTTCCTGCTTGTAATTTTAATTTTTATCCTACTACTGAAGCTCTATATAAATCCCTACTGTATTTAATAAAACAATAAATACCAAGTCTTTAAGACATGTATTTAATTAGTACTGTGCATAATTTATTATATTTCTGTGCAAAGCAATTTTTTCATAATCATAATACATAAAAAAAGTTTATATTCACAAATCATACAAGCCTATTATTTACTTGCTATTGTTTGTTCTCTGTAAATTCTTTGTAGGTATGCTAAGATCTTTAAAACTACACAATACATTTTTTTTTTAATAGATAGTGACTCACGATAATGGTTTATAGGTAAAAAAATGCATATTATAGAAGAGAAAAGCCAGGAAATTCCGTTGCAACTGTGCAAAGCCGGGGCAGGTCGCTTGTAGACAGTAAATAACTTATTATTTATTATAGTGTGCTGGTGTTCCCACCGGTAAGCAACTACCGGCGGTTCCTCATCCACCGGTGCGTGGAGCAGCTCGGCCGCTCGGAGCTGGCCACCTTCTCCATCGGGCTCAGCGACGAGAGGAGGACGGTGGTGTGCTACCGAGATAATCTTCTAAGGTATACATTGTTTTTGATATTAAGCATATTATTCAATTTCTACTGTTAGACATGATGACAATAGTGGTGAAATTCAGTTTAAAATATGTAGTTCTTTTATTCATATAGTGGATCATTTATGGAAATGTATTTGAACTATTTTATTTAAGTTTTTAAACTCATTTATTTTTATTTAACTTTCTTTTTTAAAGTAAGTAATTAAGCCCAATTTTGTACTAATAGTTTGAAATAAACACAATATTAATTAAAGCATAATTTAATTTTCTTAAAAACATTTCATATTAGGTATATTATTATTTTTAAGATTTGTTATGAGTATTTTAACTTCGCCTACGCGAATTTCGATAAATAATGTGCTATTCTGAAAGCTATAACATAGTAAAGTTGTATCAAAATCGTTCCAGTAAATCCAGTAATTTTCACAGTTTAGCTTGTTGGAAGCAAATTAAATTTTAAGCCATGTTTTATGTGCATATCACTCAGATGGGCAAAACTAGAGTTCTACCTCACTCACTATTGCCCGTTTTCACCATCAATCCCTAATTTTTAAGTGACCCTTATGAAAACAAAATTCCTGTTAAGTGTTACTAAAGGGGCCACTTAAAAATTAAGTATTGATGATGAAAACGAGCATCATACTAACATTCATACAAAGAGGAGGCTAAAATTTCCACAGGAAATAAATAGTGACATTTCTAAAGCTAGGAAATCAAATCAAAATGATATGAAAGTTGAAGAATCCAATAGATATTGTATTTGCAGTGATGAAGCTTGCGCTCGACCGACAATGGGCCTGAGTCAAACCGAACGGGAAGATGCGACCATATCACACACAGGTAAGGTTCAATTTGGAACAGACGACAGTATATCAAGCTATAGTGTGGTATTTTACGCCTTGATCGGGTATAGACACCCGCGGTTTCTTGGTAGTTCTCATTGGCGGTATATCTCGATATTATGTTGAATTTAAATGAGAACCGAGGGCTACGAGCTACGACCATTATGGCTTATTATGCGATGTTGCAATAAAAATGTTAGTGTGATATGCTGACAACTGTCGCATAAGTTTAGTTGTGTTTTTAATATCGTATCGTTTCGTCACTACGCATTAAAATAATTTGGCACTTTTGTAAGAAAAGGACACTTGCGGATGATACGCAATAATACGCATGCGGGACAATCCCGCGTCAGTAGAGATATCAGCACGATATTAGAAACACCCTCATATACTCATGGATAACTACACATAACACTACTGTTTGTGTTATCCTATTTTAGATTTTTCCAATTAACCTTCTTAGAGCAGCACCGTTGATTTCTGGGCCAACGCGCCTTTGCACAATGTTACAAAAGTCTAACTGTACTACGATTGCGGCGTCTTCTCGTTATTAGCTAATCTTTTACTGAAATGAGTTTAAATGGTATATAATTTAAATAAGCCCACATTGTTTTACATATTCGTAATTAATTCGTAACTCTTTACATACAATTTAAACACTGTTTATTTATTTGGGTATCTATCTATCTATAGCAGCCTTTGGGTTCGCCTTCGAACATAGGCCTCCTCTTCAACCCTCCACCGACTTCTGTCCCTGGCCACACGCATCCAGTTCACTCCAGCCTGTTGCCGGATATCATCTGTCCACCGTTTAGGCGGTCTTATTTGGGTAGTAGTTTAAAGAAATAGTGCATTATAATTTATATTCGAAACTCGCAAATTGCAGTTTCGTTTCTAGTGAGTTTTAAGTTAGTTAATAGCTCGCTCCCGTGTCTGGTTGCAACTTGCAATCTTGCTTGCCAAATTTTATCGTTATCAGTTCTACCACAGAATAATAATAAGTACTACGTAGTTCTACCGTGATTTAAGCCAGATCAGAAATCAGATAAATAGAGTTGATTTTGTAATCTGTAGGTCATCTTTGACCCATTTCAAACCCTCCACCTCCACGGTCCACCTCTATTAAAAGATGCTGTCCTTTGTTTAACAATGTTATTCGGCTTTTTTGTTAGCAAACTCACCAGTTTCTACTTATATATTGGGGTGGACCATAATTGCCCCAAATGATAAGGATTTGTGTTATTTACTTAAATCACAATCTGCCTCTATGAGGCAACAAAACCTCTATGGCCGCGGCAATTCGACAGTTCGATCCCCGTCGACCGCTGAACTATTGTGGTGAACCTACTTTAGGCACAAGCCAGATATTATATTTAACTTAGCTAGCTGGAGGGATTCACGAAAAAAATAGTGATTCAGCACTACAAATTGCTTGAAAAAAATATTTTGCTATAATTTATTCCGCTAACGTCGCGTGACGCCACTACACTGTAGATGTTTTTTACAAGCTTTTTTACAAGCTTTTTACAAGCTTTATATTGACTTCACTTGTTAGTATGTGTGGGACAAATCTTGCAACTGAATTTAAGACCACTTCTCCTCAACCGATTGAGCTGAAATTTGGTATACTTATGTAAGTACGATGACAATGCAATGTTATGGTACCATTGAGCTGGTCTGATGATGGAGTCAGGAGGTGGCCATAGGAACTCCTAAACGAAACGGCGGAATCGCATCGAATTTGGGTTCGTTGGATTTGTCTTTTCAAGCAGTTTAGTGCTAGATGATGTCCAGGGTCCTGATGATGGATTAGGGAGGTGGCCATAGGAACTCCTAAACGAAACGGCAGAAACTCATCGAGTTTGGGTTCGTTGGATTTTTCTTTTCGAGCAGTTTAGTGCTAGAAGATCTCCAGGGTTCTGATGATGGAGTCAGGAGGTGGCCATAGGAACTCCTAAACGAATCGGCGGAATCGCATCGAGTTTGGGTTCGTTGGATTTGTCTTTTCGAGCAGTTTAGTGCTAGATGATGTCCAGGGTCCTGTTGATGGATTAGGGAGGTGGCCATAGGAACTCCTAAACGAAACGGCAGAAACTCATCCAGTTTGGGTTCGTTGGATTTTTCTTTTCGAGCAGTTTAGTGCTAGATGATGTCCAGGGTCCTGATGATGGAGCCAGGAGGTGGCCATAGGAACTCCTAAACGAAACGGCGGAATCTTATCGAGTTAGGGTTCGTTGGATTCGACTTCTCGAGCACTTTGGTGCTAAATAATGACCCAGAAATTGAGATACAACTAAAAAGTGTAAAATAAAATTATAATAAAAAGAAACTTTTTTAAAAACAAGCTTTATCCTGAAATGCAGTTGTACTAAAACGAAAAAAATAATTGTATGCTTGGTTCAAACAACTTCGAAAGCTTGTAGCGCAAACAGAAAAAAAGAGGAATAAATTCCATGCGCGATACAAGCTTTCGAAATTGTTTGAACCAAGCCAAGCATACAATTATTTTTTTCGTTTTAGTACAACTGCATTTCAGGATAAAGCTTGTTTTAAAAAAAGTTTATTTTTTCTAATTGTATCTGCCAGTGATATTAATAGTTAGATCTTTATCATCACGTCTCTACAATCTAATTAATGTAATATGTCCTCCCTGACCCGTCTGGCCATCGTGGGGAGTGTAGGAAAAATCCTCCATTCCTCTAGATAGCAGTTTGCCTTTGACGAAATTCAGTACTGATCGATTTTTGGTCAGATAGTACACAAAAGAAAAATAAAAATTGGGGTATAACTTCATGTGTGTCAGTTAGGAAAGTTTTCAGTCTATGCTCAGTTTCTGTCTATCTTTATGTTCTATTGTACATTACCTACAGTAGAGCATAATTGTTTGCCATTTGTACTGTTTGGCTTTCTCAACACTTGCATAGAGACATGTCACCAATATTCTTAATAGACAAAAAGCGACCCAAATGATGTGCAATTTGTCTGTCTGATGTCCCATTTTTATTGTATTGGCAATTGCCATGGCAATAAGTTTTGTCATTCGTAATGAGGGTATTTAGTAAGATAATAATGTGCTATAGTTTACTATGTGAGAAAACTTTAATTTCTCACGAGCTCTATTATTATAATTACCGCTGTGGCACACTAACTGGCTTAATAAGCAAGGCAATGTCCTAATTAAATAAATGTCCTAACTAAATGTAAAACAACGATCTGAAACAGACACATTCGATAACTTTTCTTAGTTTGTATTTTGAACATACTAGTAGGGAATTTAGTGCAAGAACCCCTCCACTTTGGTATAGAAGGCTCATTTTTGCACCAGTTGTTCTTTGGGTGCTCCTGAGTAGATTTCCGTCGGTAGACATCGGGAGCCCCCCCTGTGGTAGCAGGGGGAGGGGGGGCAAGTATCCTTCTGCCGCGCTTCACTTTAAGGCCCATATCTTCAAAACTATGGGTATTAGGGCAAGTGTGGTGTCATTTTCGGATAATTAAAGGATGGCGAATTCATTTCTAGAACAAACTTTTTGCCTTTTCATACAAAAAAATAGAAATATTGAGTAAAATTCACAAAAACCAAAAAGTATTTTTTTAAATAAAAGTCGTTTACTTTTAAACCATTGGAGATAATATAATAAAAAAAATATGTCCTGAAAGCTACATTTATCAGGATTATAAATATATGCCATTGTATGGTACTTTTTCCGAAAAAGTAGGTGAAAAAAATTTTTTCTTCAGGACACAGCGGGCGAATTTTAATGCGCGTCGGAAATAAATATTTATTTTGTCGATGAATTCATACTTTTTGGTTCATAAGCAAGTAAAGATTATTATTTTAGAATTAGAGTTTCTGGCACATCATGCTACCATGATTTGTATTTTTTCTTCAATTAATTTTGAACTCTATGTGTAAGTCATAAGGTTGAAAATAGTTTAAATACATTTTATTATTGAAAATATCATAAGAAGAAAGCACTAAATAAAGAACTTGAATTTGTCTAAACGTCTAATGATTATTATTAGTATTTTAATTAACATTTTTATTTCTACATACTATTGTACCAGTGATTTAACGGAAAGGTAAGTGTGAGGAAAGTGAGGATTGATATTATCATAGTACGGGAGATTATTTTTAGCACAAAGGCTACGGCTAGGCTGTGATCATTATAGTTGTTTTTTCAGACATCACCAGCTTCTGTACTACTTCTTGCACTAGCATCTCACCTTTTCCAGGCAAGCTTCGGCAGCTGGTCAATTGGTCCATGTAGGCTCCATGTTGCTATCGACTCTGGTCCACCCCCAACCAGTCGCATAAAGGGAAGACTGAGTCGGTTACTTGCAACTGATCCTATACGCGAACCCTTTGATATACCTACTGCCAGTAGCCAATGCTGATACAAAGCTGTCTGGGTTATCTTATGTATGGCCACACCTAAACGTAGTCCACAGCGACCCATTAGGATCTTTATTCTCCCTTTTTTATTCCCTATCATCCAAAAAAATCCTATCCATTAGTTAGGTGAATTAAGCGTCTGAGTGAAAGCCTACCTAATAGTCTTCTAATGCCGGATATGCTGACCCAAGGAGACCCATCCTTACAGTATTAAGTGTTTCATGGATCCCACATGTATTCCACATGCTCGAGAGCTTCTGTTGCTAGGCCCATTTTGTGGGACATGTGGTTCGTTTCATAATGCCGAGTTTGCCCTACCTGTAATTGCTTGGGCTTACCTTTAATAAGTTTTCTCCATGACCCTGTATTTCCCTTTAGGAATGATTTGGAGAGGCTTATATCGTTGGAGCTTTCCCATTCAGCCCTGTGCTTCTTGGATATGGCCATAAGGTACCTATGCTTTTAGATAAAGATACTATCAGTTCTGATCTGACGCAATAGGTATCGTCTCTGACCCTTGTCTCGCTAGACTGTCAGCTCTCTCATTGCATTCGATCCTTGTATGTCCAGGTATCCCACATCAGGGACACTTTGTCATGCCTTCA